TCACGCATCTTTTTCCAACGTAGTTGTGCAGGTGGTGCCTCCCTGACCTTTTCTTGTCGGCGTCTTGTGGACTTTCGGATAAACAATGCATCTTCAATGTTTCTTTGCTCTTCAACAGAGGCCGGATCTTGGCAAGGAGGCTGCTTGGTGATTGGTTTGGGTTTGGGGCGAGGCTTTGGGAGCAGGTTTGGCGCTGCGACTCTTGAATTTGGGTCTGCGGCATCTTCCAGCCCTTGAATGTTTTCTTGCTCTTCAGCAGACCTTGGACCTCGGCGCCGAGGCTGCTTGCTGGTTCGTTTGGGTTTGGGGCGAGCCTTTGGGGGCAGGATTGCTGTGGCAGCTTCGTCCTGCTCTTCAGCAGAGGTTGGACCTTGGCGCCGATGCTGCTTGGTGATTCGTTTGGGTTTGGGGCGAGCCTTTTGAGCCAGGATTGGCGCGGCGCCGTCTACGGCGTCTTCCCCTGAATTTCTGGCCATGGCATCTTCCAATGCCAAATTTCTGGTTGTCTTTTGTGGACCCTTGCGCCGTTTGACTGTCTCATCTTCAGTTGTGGGATCAGTGGTATAGTCTTCACTTTGCACACGCGCTGTCTGTTTACGCTTTTTTTTTACAACGGGCGGATCGGATTCAGGATCATCGGGGAGACCTCGGTCCATTAACATAGGCGACGTGAAATGAGCTGGATGCGCCCCAGAGGAAGCATTTGGAGAAGCGCGCCCATTGGCTGCAGCAGTGGCAAGAGCCGCCACAGCACCCATATTCCTTGTACTGGCCGCAGGGGTGCCCATCGCTGTTGTCATTAGGCCGCATTTGGGACCATTGCTGGATCAGTGGCTGATCTGGGCTTCCTATCAATGTCCCAGATGGTGTTGGACCAATAGGATCCATGTGGGGGTCTGCAGTGGAAATGGTCGGGCCAGGCCTGGTGGACGATGGTCGCGTCGTAGAGGAAGTATTTGAGGAAACGCGCCCATTGGGCGCCGGAGTGGCAACAGCCGCCGCAGAACCAATATTCCTTAGACTGGGCGCAGGGGTACTGCCTTGTTGAGACAAGTCATGCAGGGCAGGGGACAGTTTCTTATCTTCTATGAAAAAAGAAAAACGAAATGTGTGACTTGCCCCACCAGTCTGCTGTCGGCCTCTCCACAATTGAAGTATTTTCTTGCAGCATGGAACCGTTAATTTGCTGGGATCACGGATCTTGACATCCTCAGGCCACATCTCACTCTCCCACAACGTGTTCCTGTGCTCATCTAAACAAAACCAGGGAACGACCACCGATGGCTTGCCTGAAGCCAAACAATAATGAATGGTCATGAATTCTCTGATGAGGGATTTAAGTAGATCGCCAGATTCAGCTCTATCCTCGGGCGCAAGAGGAAGCACTGGTAGGCCGCCATCGAGGTCAAAATGCGGCGCCTTCCGTTTCTGCCTCAGCCTGGTATAGCAATGTTGCGCCGGTGAATCTGAAGGCCCCTGCTGAAATTCTGCAGTTTGAAGTTCAATACTTCACTGATCAAGGGCGTGACAACATAATCATCTTACCTTGAATGTAGTTCAAATACTGGACCCAGGCTTCCAGAATGTTACCTACAGCCTCAGGAAACATATCTCTGAACTCTCGGAGGCCCTCAGGACCAAAATCGGCATTATGGTCCAACCAAGCGCTCCTATGTTGTCCATTTTCATCTATGTCGCCCACCAGACTCCAGCTGAAAACTCCTAGCTGGTATTGCTTGACTTTATCCATTTCTCTCATCATGCCCAGGCCATGTTTCGAATTGAGTCTGTTTGGTGGTCAAGGTGAGACGGCGCTGAAAGGCATGATTTGGACCGCTCACTTTCTTTGGACGTCAGGGGGCGGTACGGCATTCGTCCATTCCTCTGCCAAGCCTTTATACTCCTCTTTCTCAGCGTCTGTGAGACCACCCATTACTTCCTTTAGGCCTTGTTGGTATTTAGCAAGAAACGCTCTTGACCCAGGTGGCGCGCCCTTTGCGAGCCGAGTCACGACCTCATGTATTTGCTCCTGGCGCAGGTGCGCAACTACATATCTGGTGGAAATGAGTTTGACATATCCAAACTTCGGCATCCTGATGCGTCTTCCATGGTTTTGAAACCACTCTTTGATCTTCTATGGCAAAAGCGTCAAATGAGCAGCAGTATGACTAGCTAGCACCCACCGTCTTCCTCTCCTTCCACTGCTCCTCTGTAAGCAGGGGGGGTGCCTTGGCCTTCATGAGTCTGTATACCTCATACATCAGCAGCTTCTTTCTTTCTTCCTTCGTTTTGACACGAAAATCTTCCAGGTATTGTCTGAGAATCGCCGACTCCTCCGAAGAGAACGGTTTTCGTCCTGGAGTTGGGGGCCGTGGCCAGCGAGTCTGCAACAAAGGCATGTCTGGAGTCACAGGAATGTTCGGTGGGAGTGGGCTCACAAATTATCGTCGAGAGGGCAAAGGGGGCAAGGCAGCACAAACAAATTGCAAAGACCTCAAGGATTACACGTGCCCGGCAAAGAGCGCCAATCCTGACGAGCCCTTGACCATATTCAGGTGAGGACCTTTGAAACTTGACCTCATCTGGATATCAGTACCTGACGCCGGTCCCCCCAAAAAGGCAATATCTGATGCGCCAGGGCATGCTATCTGATGCGCCAGGGCATGCCTCTATCTGTGCAGAGATCATGTA